ATCCAAAGGGACGGCACTGAGACCCGCATCCAAAGGGACATCAGTGAGACCCGCATCCAAAGGGACATCAGTGAGACCCGCATCCAAAGGGACATCAGTGAGACCCGCATCCAAAGGGACGTCACTGAGACCCGCATCCAAAGGGACATCACTGAGACCCGCATCCAAAGGGACATCATCACTCTAATGCCAGCATGCCTAAGTGAGCCTCTGCTTTCTCAAAAAGCTTCCAGAAGCAGCCTCAGGCTTTTTCAGGACTCATTACAGGTGATTTTCTTAAAAGCATTGTAAACAACTGATGATTTTCTCACACATTCACTACACATCTCCTGTAATCATACATACATCATGTTCCTCCACGGATTCATGAGTCATCACCCTGGTTTCAGAGGGGAGGTTGCTGTGATTCTCTACAGCTTCCCTGGATGCGTGCAGGTCCAGCCTTGAACATGACACTCGCTGATGGGGTCGGTCATTGGACCGCCTGGTGCTGTGGAGCACAGCTTATGCCCAGGATCATGAATAAACAGGAGGGTCTGGCCTACTCTGGAAAGCAGTGGATCTGACCCAAAAAGAGATGTGAGCTGTACATTACAGCATGTGCAGCAAGGAGAGCGTGACGGTGTGGAGTATGTGCATGAAGGGAATCTCCACAGACGTCCCTCTCAGTCACTGAGACAACATAATACAAACCTCTACCATCACACAACAATTAAATATACCAACACGGATGCTCCCTGTTTTCTTGTTTTTTGTTCGGTTTTCCTGTTTCTAAATTCCCTCTGGAAAATGAAAAATGAAACTTGATTGGCTGGTTGATGTTTTTATGCTATATTCCACCTTGACTTGGTCCCGCCCACTGCACCTCTGCACTCTCTGCCCACCCTGAGTAGTAAGCACACAGCATACCGTGGCTCCTCCCTCGTTCCTCCCCCATCCCTCCCACATTCCTCCCACGCGCCGTGGCAGATTCGCACCACGCTGCAGCGCTCCGCCACCCACAGGGCATGTCTTGGGAATTGGGAGTTTAAATCAGGCTAAAACTTCATTTTCTTCCCGCACTCCTCTGCGAGCTTCTCGCTGCTGGTCTGCTGATACAGGATCAGCAATACGAGTCGGGTACCATGTCATTTTTTAAACTCTCTATTTTGGATGGGTGGCTGTATGTCTCGCATTGTGTTAACACCCCAGTGAGTATGTGCCATGTTTAAGCGACAACATTTCATATTTATTCATAACCAGACACAGTAATTGCTTTGTTGGTGAGTCTGTGTTGCCTGCTGAGGTTTTAATGGGCAAAAAATTATGTAGTAATATAGAGGCAGTTCACTGGCAGCATGGTTGCTCCGTGGGTAACACTGCCACCTTACACATTCTGGTTGAGATCTTCTATCTTTTCTGGGGGGAGGCAGTGTATGGCTGTACCTCTTAGGCCTCTTTGCCTGTGATCAGAAGGCTGCTGGGTTGAATCCCGTGCTCAGCAGAGTGGTCTCATCCCCCTTGGTCCCTTGAGTAAGGCCCTAAATCACCCAAAATGCCCCAGGTCTGCCAGATAAACTACTGACCCTATGCTCAGACGTGTGTGCATGTCTCAAACATTAAGGAAATACGATATGTGAAAGAAGCATTCCAGTGTACCTGTACTTGTGCAAATAAAACATCATTTTCATTTCAGTTTCCAATATTTCATCATTTGAAGGCCCAGTGTTGTCCTTATCCCATTGTAAGACTTCAGTTTGCTGTGTTTAACAGGTATGTAGCAGCATTTTGGAGGAAGAAAATCAACCCGCAGGCTAATTTGCATGCAGAAATACTCAGTGTGCGACACGCTGTTTCCATTATGCATCACAGGCACCTATAAATTCCTCTTTCTGAATGAACCCTGGAGATTTGTGATGCAGCCTTGGTCTTATCTGAGGCTGGCAGCCGGGGCCAGATTCGGATCTCTTCCCATCGCCATCTCCACCACCTGATCGCTCGCCGCTAAAACTCCCCCGGTCTCTTCTCACCTGATAAGCCACCCACATCCATCTTCTTCAGGTTCTTGGCCTCCAGAATGACGACGGTCAGCTTGCCGGCCGTGGGCACGTAGCGCAGGGAGAAGCAGATGTCACCCAGCTTCTCTTGCTGCGAGGAGGAAGCGGAGAAGAGCTCAGTTACTTGCACGGCAGGTGGAATGCACGTGAAGGCCAGCCGGTATTATGGGATGCCGGAGATGTCTGACCGACGATAACGACATTGTCTAGCAGCTCCCTGGAGTGAGTCAGTTATATTCTGCCCAAGGATGCAATGGTGACACCCTTTCTGGACTGATAACCTCTTCATTGACCTACTAACTCTCCCTGCTACACCAACATAACAACCGCAGTGACAATGCTCTGTGTTTCATGTTTTTGTGTGTAGTGTTCATGTTTTCCACAGGGCGATGAGGTTCCTATGTAGTAAATAACATATGCTTGTGTTCTTTAAAATATGTTTTCACACTAACTCTTTTTCTAACCATATTAAAGGTGAGTGGGCAACGTCACATAAGTATTATGACATTACATAAAATTCAGTACATTTGGCTTGTATTAATACTGTAAATTGTAAGGCAATAGTGTTTTCATGATCCAAGTATTACTAATTTGAAAACCAATGCACTATGTATATCTTCTATACCCTCTATATACATGCACTGCCTTAGTAGTGACCAGGTGTACACTTCACTACATGTTGTACTCCTGCCTCTGATGTTTTTAGTTCTCCTGTTCTTTGAGTGTCACCCTGCGCTGAGATGTTTGGGAGATGAGTTGTGCAAATCATCGTCAGTTGCTGTAATTTCCGTTGCCAGTGACTTCCTGGGAATCTCAGATGCACATAAAGTTCAACACACTAAGCAGCGTCCAGATCAGCACCGGCCACTTGGCCTCACCAACATCGACGTCTTGCTTATGAAAGTGTTTATCGGGTTTGCCTGGATCCAGGCCTTACTGTGATCTCTTGGCCTTCCATGCCCTGGATCGGGCCCTAGTAGGGGCGTATATAGGGCTGTGGTCACAGGGAGCACTGGCCGCAGGTTAAAGCTGATCAGCCCCCCGGGTCTCTCACAGACTCCATGCATAATGATAAGGTCGGCACCTCTGTATGAATTGTGACCCCTCTTATGCCCCACACCTTGAAAAAATCCTAGACGTCATTTGGGTTCACAGCCAATGGCTTTTTCATGCCGGCAGTCTTTGGCTGCCAAAGTGCACAAGTAGTTGCCATGGCAATAAGCCAAGCAAAGCAAATATCCACAGTTATGATATAGTTACTCTATATGTGTTTATAAAAGCTGCCACCATGTTACCATCCATCCACCCATTTTCCTTCGCTTATCTGGCGTAGGGTTGTGGGGGCAGCAGTCTACCATACATCTAAAATAACACGATCGTGTGACAGTGGGTGAACAGGCGTTTCCAAAACTGGCTTGTCCATGCTTGGTAGATAGCTATCTGTATAATACGAATCTTGTCTTGGCTCCTCCGTGGTTACATTCCCGACACTGTGTTGCAGAGTAACACACCTGAACACGCCAGTTTGTGGTGGAACACATTTGATATTTGATTATCCCAGTTAGCTCACATGCTTTGTTTAGGATGTGATATTTCTCGCAAAATCTACTCCATCCACTCATCCATTTTCTAGCTGCTTATCCTAGGCAGGTTGACAGGGCCCGTGGCGGGAGCGCAGTGGATGTGGAGTCCAGCGCATTGCAAGGCACATACTGTACATGAACGCACTTAGAAATACAAACTGGGGCCACTCTTTCCTGTAGCTGAACAAGTACAGTATTGTTCTAACATACAATACCAGTCAAAAGTTTGGACACACCTACCCACAAAAAGGTTTATTTGTACTAATCTATACATTTTAGAATAATTATAAAGACATGAAAACTATAAAATAGCATATATGAAATTATGCACTCACCAAAAAAGTATTTAAAAAATATTGGGGTGGGGCAGTTCTGTTGGTTGGGACTCAGAAGGTTGTTGGTTCAAATTCCGTGGTCAGCAGAGTGATGCCACCACTGGGCCATTGAGCAAGGCCCGTACCCCCAAGACTGGCTGAACCTACTTTCTCCTCTATGCCAGTTTCATGAGGTGGCCTTCTGGGATGCTTTTCCAGCTCTTCTGAAGGAAGTCCCACATATGCTGAGCACTCACTGGTCACTTTTCCTTCACTCTCTGGCCAAACTCCTCCCAAACCATTTATACTGTGTTAAGGTCAGGTGGCCAGGTCATGTGATCCGACACTATCACTCTTGTTTGTCGGCGGCTTGGCGTCTCCAAACTTTTGATTTGTACTGTTGGTTATAGGTTCAAATCCCAAGGAATGCAGATAAATTATAACCCTTTCCTCCACTGTAAGTCGCTTTGGATAAAAGCATCAGATAAATGAATAAAAATGTAAAACTATCTGTCAGGTGTGGGGGGGGGGTGGTACCTGCATGACATTGGGAGAACATGCAATCTCCACACTCCACCCCAACCCTGGAAATATGGGCTAATATTATATAGGCCCCGACCCCCTCATTACCCTGACAAGTATAACCACATAGAAGATACATGGATGGATGGATAGATTGATCACATATACATAAAATTTGTACAGGATGGTAAAAAAGGCATCAAACTCTCTGAATCTGAATGTTGGGGTTACAGCATTTACAGCATTTAGAAGAACATTATCTTGGGCCACCTATACGTGCCATATTCCCGAAGATTCCAGTGATGGGGGCAGCATTTTGCCGAGGGTACAGTCATTTCCTCCATTTCAGGGCCGGAGATGCAGACTCCCGCCAGCAAAGTGACCTTTCCCTTCCTGCTGGATGGGCGGTCTGTCAGGCACATGAGCCCCAAGGGCCCCAGCGGGACGGGACAGAGGAAGGGGCTCGTCACTACGGCGCGGTACCCACGGGGTGTCATTTACAGCTGCCGGAGGTATGTGTGTGAGGAAGCCCTGTCAACACCACACAGCCCAACGAAGAAGATCCAAAAAAAGGTAAGATAAGACTAGGGTGTGACATCCGTGTAATAAATTCTGATGTTATTTGACTTCAGCAGACCACCGTTATTTCCGCCCAGGCAGAAAAAAAAAAACTGGCTCAGGGAAGTCAGACAGAGAGGATTCACACTGAAGATCTGGACATCTGCTGCTTTATGTGCACGGATGATGTCCAAGATAAGCACTTAAATCATAAAAACACGTCCTAAAGAATCACATTCTGGTACAGCTTCAGCTTTATGGGCTAAGTGGATTCTGCTCAGCATTCACAAGTTATTCTTATTAATGACCAATTAACACCATCTGCTCCTTTCTTAAAAGATGCATTTGTGTAATGTGCACTTATATTTTGACATTTTTAATGCAATGTTTTGTTTACTATTCTAGTTATTGTACTAGCTCTATAGTCTGTAACGCTTTTATGGCAGACTCATCTAGAATAAAACATGTAATAAATCCGTCTGCTCCACATGCGACATGAGCAGGTGCTGGAGAGCAGCGTGAAATGTCGAAAAGCAGAGAGCAGCGACGTCGGGGGAACTGCAGACCACCCTCAGGGACGACCTGCAGGGGTGGGCTTCACTTACACATGCCTATTCCTGGGACACATGTAGAAACAGAGCTTAGAGATGGACACACGGCATGTGAGCTCTTCCATAACCTACTGTATGTCAATTAGGCATATATATGATGGAAAGTGACAGCAGGAATGTCACACTATGGATGCATCCCTGAATGCATTCTAATGACTACAGATCCCAAAATAGTGTCCCTGCTGTGCAGGCGAAACATGCGACTTTACGGAGAGGCAACTTCCTAATTAACCTTTCACTCGGAGCATCCGTGGCTAAAATACACATCGCCATGGCAACCTGCCTGTCCTGCACACCGTGACATTTTCCACTGGAACGGAACGCGCGAGGGAGTCACGCGCTGATTTATGATGGGGGTGGGGGGGGCGGCGGCATTTTCCTGAGAGATCAGGATTTATCAGGTATCCAGATTTATTCGGTTGTTACCTACTGTACTGTACAGACACGGGCTCTTTCACCTGGAGAGCTCACACAGTTTATAGGCTGCGCACAACTCTGCTCCTTAATATTTACTGAGAAAGTTCAGGTTCAGAGGTTTGCTGATGCTCCTTATCGCATAAAAACCTGCCACACGGTGCTAACAGCTCTGACTCTCTGATTTTTAACTTCTAAAGTCTCCAGCTTCATTAACATATGGGATGTGCTGTTTGATTTGATTCATTTGCTCTTATCTGAAGAGGCTTCCTGTACATTATTTCATATTGGAATAATACACAGCTCACCATGTTGATGGCACTTTTCCATCAGTGCGATTTAGGTCAAGCCTACTGGGGAAAGTTGAGTCCCTATGCAGACATGTGGCCTCGCCTTGCTTGGCCCCTCCCCCTTCATGATGAACACCACCCCCTGATGTGGTGGCGCTCACCTCCTCCTTCTCAGCGCTCAGCAGGTCGCGCCACTCCTCCGTCACGTGGCTGAAGTCCACCTTGTTCATGGGTACCCTGACGTCGCCGATGGCGTCGTGCTTGGAGAAGCGGTCGAAGTCGTAGACCGTCATCACCAGCGTCTTGCCCCCCAGCTCGGTGTAGGGCACCTGCCGGGTGAGAGGCGGGCAGGAGGGGGGGTTATCCACCTTACGAGGACTATGGCTCAGCAAACTAACCAAGTCACTACAGTCACTGCTAACTCACTATATTATTTCCTTCCCACCTTAGAAACCGAAATTCCACCCAGTCGGCTTTATGTCATCGATTTCCGTCTGCCGTTCACCGTCTCATTATATTACCCACAATCCCCACGGCATTTTAAAACCTGCCATGGTCTCAAGGAAGGTACATGAAGCCTTTTATCTATTACACACATTAAAAGTAATAACCTAAATACCTGACTATTTTAAGAATGAATCGTTACGTTATCGGAAATGCTCACTAGCTGGCTTTATCACTGGTTGGGTTGTGTGTAATTTTAACAACGCATAAAATGAAGACTGCCTGGCTGCTGTAATGTCCAGAGAACATCTTACAGCTTCACTGCAGCTGAGCTGAATCTATATGGTGAGGAGCTGTGTACCTCGCAGCTATATTCGGCCCATGTTGTGCTGTTGGTGTCTATGGTGTTCTGCAGGCAGACTCGGGTGGGGCTGTGGGTGCTGCACCTACACTCGCGTGGTGTTGTTAAGTGGAGTTAAACGGCACCTTGAAGATGAACTGCTCGTTAAAGCAGGGGTTCAGCGTCTTCCTGTGAACCTTCGTCTCAAACTTCTTCTTCTTGTCAGGCAGCAGGTAGACCTTAACGTAGGGATCAGAGGTGCCCCCCATGTCCATGGCGGGCAGCTCGGCCGCCTGGATGATCCCCACTATGAGCTGCGGCGGGGGGAAGAGCCAGAGGGAGCAGATATCAGCACCGCGCATCACCACCCAGAGGCACTAGCACACCCAGCCACTCTGCACCATCCAGGCGGCCAATGGCCCTCATGCCCAAGCTTATTACAGACCCCACACTGAGGAAGGTATACCATCTCCCTGCTGTCTAAAGCACGGAGCTCTTTTCTGACACCTTAAAATGCAAGAGGCTGCATCGCATCGCACTCTGAAAACTAATAGCACATGTTACATAAAGCAGTGTTTCTCAAACCAGTCCCTGGGAACCCCATACGCTCCATGTTTCTGCTTCCTCTAAACTCCCAGGGAATTGAGGGAGAGCAAAAACGTGGACCGTCTGGGGGTCCCCAGGGACTGGTTTGAGTAACACTGATATAAACAACACAGCACCTTTCATTAATCAGCCGAGGACCAGAATCCGGTCAGTACTTTGTAATTGGACATGTGTTTTTTTCCATGTTAACATAAATGTCCAGAAGAAAAGAATCAGGTTAAAGTTCTCCAGAGGAGAACCAAAAGGCAGAGGCCAATCAAACGCACCTCTTAAATCAGGTCAGGGCACACTGGTGTGGTGTAAGCCCCCTTCTCCGCATGGATCTTATGTATTTTATTTGGGGCTTGATTGACCTGCCAATCAGGGGAGCTTCTCCTTGGCCTCTGGGTCAGTCGGGGGCAGGGAGGCAATCAGGGCCAAATCAGCAGCCTTGAGCGGACAAACGCGGAGGTGACAGAGCTGGACAGGGCAGCCGAGTAGTGCATTAACACCGCTGACGGGCAGGGCTCACAGCAGATGGTGCAGGGGTTCCCCGCTGGGATGGCGGAGCACACGGCCAACTCAAAAACACCACACATCCCAAGGCACTCACATCTGCCCCCTGCTGGAGGCCCATGAAGGTGATGGATGCAGTTCGATGGTGGTTTTGTTGATAAAGGAGTGGTGAGCAGGGTTAAGGAGAACACTGAGGAAGAATCGTGCCCATTATATAACAAAAAGGAAATTAAACTAATACTGAATTATGTTTGTTAAAAAGCTGCATAAAAAGAGTGATCTAGTGCCAAAGATCATCTGTTAAATTCTTGTTTATTTTAACAGATGCTTTTGTCTGACGCAGTGCACAACTGAGAATCTGAGAGCAGGGCCAGAACTGTGGTTAAGTACCTTGCTCAAGAGCTAAATGGCGATGTAACTACTCCCCCAGCCATGGGATTTGAGCCCACGACCTTCCGGAGAGGGGCACAGGTACAATGCAGAACCCTGAGCCCCTAAGCTACATGCCGCCCACCAGAAAAGGCCACATTAATGTCCGGCTTTGCATATGAGCAGGAAAAGCGTGGGGCTTTTTCATAGCAGGCTATATAAATCGAGCTGGCTGTGAACATGGTTAAACGGCAGCTCTCTCCCTTCCCAGCATGCCGCTCTGCCTCAAGTCCTCTCTTGTCCTGCCGCTCCTGGACACGGGCAGGAAGCAGGAGGCCACAGCAGATAGCAGCGAGGGCCTTAGCCAATCATTCAGTGGCTACCAGCCTGTCCTGGGGGGAATCTCCCATAATACACTGGCCTCTCTCCACAGGAGAATTCTGTGTGCTTCAGAGGACCCGGCTCTGTGAAAGCTGTCGCGTCTATTCCCCATCCGGAAAAAAGGGACAATGCTGCCTCTTAGAGGTCAACAATAATCTGCCAATCCATTCTGAAGATACCCCCCCCAGGACTCAAATAGGTATTACAGAGGATGGGGACATGGAAGCCCCACTGCGATCACATTTCCTTATAACACGGTCTGTGATCCCAAGCCACACAGGGGCCCCGTGATTATCTATGCCTCAGGATAATAGTTCACAGTCAATTAGAGGCAGGAATGCATTAAAACTGCGAGATGTATTAAAACTTTCTTTTTTATTCTGCTTTTTCTGACACGCTTTTTTTCCCTGATCGTCTTGACAAGGCCATTGTGCTCAGAATAATCGGGGGGAGAAGCGTACTTTATCCAATGGGCCGTGACTCCTTTCAAAGGCAGGAAAAAAAAAAGGACCTGGCTCAGAGGGTGAGATTCTACATTCAGAAAGTGAAAGTACAGTGAGTGCCACCCACCCTGATATAAAGGCCTTTCATTCGCCGTCCACACTGGACGCCCTTCGCTCTGGCAGACCGGAAAGGGCAGATTACCTTTAAACAAAAGCGGGGACGTTCTGGGAGAGGGAGGGGGCAGAAGTCACCCCGCTTCAGAATCCACTACACCAGCAGGGTAATAACCGCGGTATAGACTGGGACCTCTGAGACAGCGGAGGCCGAAAGGAGCTTTCTGTGCTGTCACCAGCATGCTGGTTAGCGGGGGCACAAAGTAGGCCGCTCTGATTGTGCGGCCCCCTGATTTATGCCCCTTTTGTGCCATCTGCACGCCCCTGCCGCAGGGGCCGGGAGCTCAGTACTGCTCCGCCTGACTCAACGCCACTGAACCTTATGGTAGCGCGACACCCAGGGGTGTTCGCGGAAGGACGGGTTTTTAACATGCTAGCATGCTGACGTCACGAAGCCAGATTCTGGACTGACTCAGCCCGGAATGTGTGGCGCGTGTTAGTGCACGTGTGCGTACGCGCTCGGAAAGCGTCACCAGCGCACAGATTACCTGACGGCGTGCGTGAGCTTCCCCCTCTGAGAGAATGCAATTATTTTTATTTGAGTGCTAAATGTTGGACGTTTCATGCCGAAGCAGACTGATGGGACGGCCTGGATAATCACTGCCTGTCTTGATTGTTTACATGGCGAGATAGCGGGCCAGCCGGGAAAGCCGTAGCTCTCCTCGACCGCCGCTGTTATCTGTCACTGAACATCTGCCATCAGCAAGTTTATTTGCCTCTCAAGTCGCGCTGCCTTAAAACCCACCCGCTGAGAACGGGGCCAGATGGATTTCAATGACAAGTTATTTTAATTCGCCTTTTTCTATTACTTTTCGGTAGCTTTATTCTAAGTTTTGGGTTGAGTTGTTTTCAGCCGAGGTGCAGATGTGCAGCAGGCGTTCCAGGACAAATAACTTCGGTTAATGGACGGAGCTGAGAAACGGTGTTGGGATTTGTCGGAAAAATGACGCGGATGCTAATGAGCAGGGGTGCCGGGGCATGGATACCCTGGCAGATTCAGGGAGCTCGGCCCTTTAAAGGGGTCTTTCAATAAGTTAAATAATAAAATTATATAACGTAAAGGGGCAGGGAGCCAATGGTAAGATTTCTGAATTTCTAGCTACACTCCTGGGGTTACCTCACAGTTACCTGGTCAGATAATTGTTGCTCTAAAGGGTTGTTAGAGGGGTGATGGGTAAACAAAGGGATGGAAGGATGGGTGACCATACTTACGAAAAGCAGTGGGAGGGTCTTAAGGTGGCACACAGGTGGTGATTGGCAGGCCGGCCCCTTACCTGGTTCTCAGTGAAATTGTAATCCATGGAGTACTGCAATTTGCCCAGTTTCTCCGTCTCCTTAGGCTCCTCCTCTTTCTCCCCATCCGTCAGCCCTGTCTCTGCATCATCCTCATCCTTCAAGGCCTGAAGGAGACACCCGCCGACAGTCAGTCATGCGCCAGCCTGCCTGGCCTCGGCGGTCCTGTCCCAATCCACTCTGGAGACCCAGCCCCCTCTCCGGGGCGCTAAACGACACGACGGGTAACATCGCGACATGCTCGGTGATGCACAGCCTCAGCGTGACCCTGTTGCACTCACGCACTCTGCATACATGTCTGAGAAACTTTTTATTAAATGAAAGCAAAAAGGAATAAACGGAACTCAATGGGCAGGCAGCTGGGGTGATGCAAGACTTCAAAGCCAGTGATATATTTTTTTTGCTTAGGAAAAGAAAAAGCTGATAATTCCCTTGATGTTATTTCAGGCAAAGTCAGTTCTTGCAAAAACAAATCAACGGGGAAATGTCAGGGAAAAAAAAACACAAGTTCCTCGCTAACTGCTCGTCGGGGGTAAGGTGGGGGCCAGAGGAGAGGAGGCATGCAACTGAAGAGGCTTTCAGTTCATTCAGTATGAAGCTGACTTCAAGATGTCAGACTCCCCAACAGGCATGCAGGGCATTCCCATTCTATGAAAGTGTGCTCGCAGTACTCAGTTTTTAAATATGACAGCGCCCCCTTCGGATGGGAGGTCATCGTTCAGTCGCATCGTCAGAGACCTCAGCTGCGTGTGGTGTTGATGGAAGCTACGCACATCATGCCAGCAAAAGGTACCAGTAAGGGTTCGAAACTTATCACTGTGATGCTACGAGCTGGTGGCTTGCTGGTGTGGAAGCAAAAGGCTGAACAGAATTGATCTCCTTTTAAGGAAACATAAAATCATGCACAAGGTGCAACTATAGTATGTATACACAGAGCATATACATATGCGATAGCCATTTTTTGGCTGGGGTTGTAAGATCTTAGTGTATGTACTCTCAAGTCACTAAAAGGATTACGGAAATGATTAAGGCTGTGATATGCATGAGCCTGCAGTAGCTTCTCCATATTATTTTTCAGTCTTTCAGCTACTGAGATATTATGGTCACATGACCAAACATCTACAAATCTGCCTCCACGTAGCTTAAGGCTAAACTTGGACTGCACGCAAACGTGTGCGTTATGGTTGAGCAGGTTCTCAGCGTTAGCTTTAATCATTGTGCTTTCAACTAACAGCTACACACTAATATGCAAATCAAAGTCTTGGGGAAGCGGAAATCAATTCGATTCAACCTTGTCAAAGCACACCAGGGATTTATATATGTGCATTGGCAAACATACACATATATGTATATATACATGTGCAGTATGCATAGTTACATATATGTAGCTCTATGGGAGTAAGTTGTGGTCAAGACATTAAACATCAGAGCAGCAGGCTAAGAAGATCCATCAGCAATTGGGGACCTACCACAGGCGCCAATCCCGCACAGTCACCAGACACAACACAGATAAGGAGGACATAGAAGGAAGAGACAGAAATTAAAACAACCACACACAGGTTTCGCACAGGAGTCTGGGCAAACCAGGAGATGTGACCACTCTGGGGCTGCACAGCTGCTGGAGGGGCAGATGGGGGCGCAGTAGCTCATCTCTACATGCGACGAAGACGTAGCTGCAGCCTGAAGCTGCTTTCCGCACTGTGGCTCTGGTTGCATGAATATATATATTTTTTGTTTTTCTAAACGTCAGCTATGAGCTTGTTTTAAAATTTGAGAAAGAGAGTCTGGTGACATGACATTTTTCTTTGACTCGAGGCAGCGCAAGCCAAGATGTTAGCAAAACATCTGTGGTCTTGAAGGTGTGAGGAGCTCAGCTAAATTTAGACCTCAGGAGATCTGTGCTTCTGCTCATCTCTGCAACCGACATGTAAAAAACATCTACTGAAGGAGCACTGCGGACGTTTCAGTGGCTACATCAGTAACTACATTATAAACGTGAACTGAACGCACAGCCTGATACACTTCATTCAACTGCAATTTTAAAAGGCTTTTCATTTACAAACATATCTTTGGTATAGGCGATGACTTCTCACTGCTCCTCAGATCCCAATGGTCAACCTTCAAACATTTAATTATATGGATTTTGTCAATTATTTCATCAGACGCACGGCAAGCCCCACGAAACACAATTAGTAAGCAAACGTGAGTTGAAGTGTGCGTGTGTCATAAAATATACCTCTACATTAAAAAGAGCGGCAGAATTAATTATACCGCAGCAATATAATTAACGAGCATCATTTATCTGGGTGGGTACTGATTCATTAGGAATCACATGGCATTCAGCACTGCAGAACATGTACCATTCTGCAGAAACACATATAACTTTTTCAGTTTTTTTTTTTTACCTGTAATTACAATCAAAACTATAGTCTGGTTCTTAAACTCAGGTACGGCGCATTAACAAATGCACTTCAGATCCACGAAAGGTAATCATGCTGCTGTGAGTCCTATTGTCATTCTCTGTTTTGTTTCCATGGAAATTAGAATCAGCGATAAGCCGGATGAGCAGAATGGGGCCACAGAGACAATGAGCGCCAAACGGAGCCGCAGAGGGCGAAGAGGGACGGCCAGCTCTAAACGAGACGTTGGTCTGTCCACCTCCAGTAACGTGTCAAACCTCTCAACTTAGCAAGAACCCTGGCAAGACGCTGTTACACGTCACACGCCAGCTCCGGCAACAGCGTAATGGGTTAGAGAGTGACAGGTTGTGGAAGACTCAGACTGTCACAAGGACATTGGCTGTTTCCCTCCATTAATCCCCACAGTACATATTACTGTTCTGCCTTATTACAGTGATCTCAACAAAAGCACATCAGCAGAAAAAAATCAACAACACATGTATATCTACTGCTAGAGCTTAATAAATAGACAATCAATACCCTGAGCTGATAAAAAGTTTTACAAAGACAATATAGTGCAAGTGCCTGTACCTCCATCTTGGTGCCTTCTATGACGTCCTTCATGTTGATGGCATTCTTGCCGCCCTTCTCCTTGCCTTTTTTCTTGTTCTTCTTCTTGAAGATGCACTTCTTGCAGAGGCAGAAGCAGCAGGTGAGGATGAGGAGGATGGCGACCAGGGCGATGGCAACGATGGCCCATGATGGCACTGCAGGAGGGCAAAGGTCACCAGTTTGCAGAGGAGTCCACCTCATGTCAACATAAACTTCCTGCATCCATCCATCCACCATCCAACTGCTTAGCTTCTCAGGGTCACAGGTAACCTGGAGCTTATCACCAGCAGTTTAGGGCTCAAGGAGCTTGGGGTAAGCTCTGAATAGGATACCAATCCATCATAAGACATACACCATGGCACACAATCCTAAAGTACTGGTAGTTTTAGACTTTCAAACTAAACAAACGTGGAGTAGAGGCAGGATTCCAACTCCCAACCCTACAGGACACCATGCCACCCCATAATTCCAAACTATTTCTGGAGACATGGAAAGCAATCAAATTATGAGTATATCCTGATGTATGGAGTCAGCAATCTGAGTAGCATTAGCATCATTAGCATTTATCTAAACTGGAGGATAGATTAGAGTGGGCCCTGGCTGCACTGGGCCACTGCCTCTCCAGTGACAGGGCTCTCTGGGGAGACCCGACAGGGACTTGGCTCTGTGTGGGTATTTATATGTGACTGCACTGCAGTTATAACACACAGTTAGGCCTGCCACTGAAGGCCTGCCTCCCACAGATGTCGTGCTGAGGGGCTGCGACGACGGCTTCATCAAATGCCGAGTTGTGACGCTATCCAAATGCTGTGAGGCTGAGACCAGGCACTGAAACACAGATGCTTTTGATGATGCACAGGGGTTAGCATGGGCACTGCAACTGTCCAGCAGCTATGCAGCCCCTTTTTATGCATTTACAGTATATTAATGTCTTTGTAGGGAACGTCCATTCATTTCTATGGGGAAAAACCCTAATCCCAACTATGACAACCTTATCCCCTACCCAGCCCTAACCTAAAATTGAGTTTCTCCTTTTGGGGACCTAAGAAATGGTCCCTACAATGTCAAAGTAACTGGTTTTTATCACATTGTGGGAATATTTGTTACCCACAATGTAATATATACATAACCACACACACACGCACACACACACACACACACACACACACATAACAATCAGATACACACACACACACACACACACACACAAACAATCAGACACACACACGCACACACACATTATAGGTATATATATCTTTGTGGGGTCTCTCCATTAATTTCTATGGGCATAATGATAATCCCAATCCCTATGACGACCTTAACCCATACTCAGTCCTAACCATAAGTAACCAAACAAGGCATTTAGCATATTCTGCATTCACAATTGTTTATAACACTGAATTTCCCTTGTGGGGACTTAAAAAATCGCCAAAAATTCCCGGTTTTTATCAATATTTTGAGGATAGTTGGTCCCCACAATACAATATGTACATCCCAACACACAGAAACACCCCCTGCCCCCACACACACAATCATATGCATGGTCACACATGCATGCATGCATGTACACACACAACACAGTCTCATAAGCACATATACATGAACAGATAAAACCCACACACAAGTAAATGGACACTGGGCGCACACAAATTCACCAAAAATATAAACTCCCACCCAGACACACACACACACACACACACAACAATACGTTAGCACATTACAAAGCTGTTAGCATGGTGCTAGAGTGCAAATGCGACCCCTAAAAGTATCAGGGAGGGATCATTGAGCCCCGCATGGACCAATGTGGTGGAAATAATGAGGAGAGGAAGGGCCATTCAGAGGGATAATTACGGCTGTGCTAGCAGGAAATCAGACACCTCCTGGGTGACCGACCGCTCCCCTCTTCGATATGGGCAAACACACAGCCGCCGCAGCCAAAAGAGGCTCACTGAGACAGGCACACATACTGCCGCCGGAGAGATTCGCACAACGAAGGCGAAATGAACATTTCGGGATCACACGACACATCCAGCCAGCCACCACAGCTGACAGATATGAGAAATTCTGTTCAAATGCTCATTCAGACCATCGTTTGAAAATGCTATAAAACTGACATAACCCATAAATTATATTTGGGGGATAACAATACAGCAGTCATGGTTATGACTAAATATTTGTGATGCACTGGGAGATGCATACCACACAATGTGGTTTGGTGTGTGTAGGGTTAGCTGGTAAGATAGTGGGTAGAATGTGATTGTTCTGTTCAGGTGTGTGAATGAGGATGTGTCTGAATGTGATTGATTGCTTTTAGTTGTGCGTGTTCAGGGAGGCCCAGAGAGCTGGGCAGTTGTTTTCCTGTATGTTCTTGCTTTCTTGGTCTGGGATACTCAGCCCTATTAGATGTAGACTTGAATATTATTGAACCATTTATTGAATAATGTAATTTCACTAATACCTATACCACATCTCTAGCTAATTAACATTATCTTGTGTATCTTTCTGTATTGTCAGTATGTGTTTCTCTTTTAAGCACCATGCTGGAACAGGCTAGTATTTCCTTATTCAAGTACCCAGACTAAGGAACATTGAACAGACCGTTGGAAAAATAATGACCATGCATCTCCAGGTGAAACCATATGACCCCCATGACTTTGCTAGGATTAACTACATCTTCTGTCCCCTTCATGTGAGACTTGGGGCCCATTCTAAGATGATAAAATGGTTTCTGGTTTGATCAAATTATTACAAAAGCATGTGACCTTGATTTGTAGATGAAGTTGCGAGTAATCAGTTCTCTCAGAACATACTGTAACTGAATACTTCATCAACCCAACCTTCTGATTTCCATAACCGTTTAGCAAATGTAGGCTCATGTTGAGCCTGGAGCCCATCCCAGAACACACTAGGCACATGGCAGGAGAAGCCAGGCCATCAGACATTGTTCTCAAAGAAATGGTTTTAATTCATCGCATAAGAAAAATTCACCGCATGATTCGGCCGAAGTGAAGTGAAGAGAACACAAAGAAAAAGCAAGTCCTGAAATAAAGCAGTGGTCCTTCATCGACCCAGAATATACACATATAGAAGCAGACCTTTGGGACTAGAGAGACAAAGACTAGCCTCCATTTACAGTCTGAAGGGTCTTCAGAAGGTCTGCCACTGGGATGGTCTGCTTTTAGGAAGCGGGCTCTGAGCCCAGATTTGTCACCGAGAATAAACAGCGGGGATCTTCCCTCGCAAACGGTGCACACAGGTGTGATACAGCGGGAATCGGAAGCAGGGAAGAGAGCAGAGAAGCGGCCAGGGGAGAGGGGGCTACGCAGACAGCCAGCCCGGCGGGATATCCATTTCATCCCATATCGTCTACCTAATTTGGCTGTTTATCTCTAGTTTACTCTATACGAGGAGCCTTTTAAAGGAACTGCAGGGCCAAGGAAAGGGGGCAGAGAAGAGATTAGGGTTGTAGTGTGGGTTTTTATGAGGATGCGATTAATACGTTTCCTGGCACGCCGCTTTGGAAAAACACCAGGAACAGAGCCGCAGTTAAGCGGCGATTGGGAGAATGCGGGAAGGTCCGCGTCTCTCCGCGGAGAAAGTCATTACGGCTCAGCCACTCAGCCGCCAAGTGCAGGCAGGCAGCACGGCCGAAACAGCGCCGCTCGCCTGATCGAAATGCGACGTTACAAACACGGCACAGGTGAAATCACGCTCTGCTTTTGTTCCCCCTGATTCTCACTGTCAGACAGCCGTGTCTGAGGATAAATACCACCTCATTATGGCTATTGTTTAGGTGCACTGCAATTTATTTTGCCGAAGACTTTTCTTTGTGGGTACAGCATAATGTGGGCGGCTAAGTGGGAGGCACTGTCCCCCCATACCTCCTGGGTCAAGTTTTCATATTCTCACCATTTTTGTGTGGTTTTCCTCCTGCAGTACAAAAACATGTCATTTGGGTGAATTGTTGCCTCTAAATTGCCAATTGTGTGTGTTTGAATGCCCAGGGAGGCAGTGGTATCTTTTCCAGTGCATCGTGTGACAGGTTTCAGGATTGCAGTGACCCTCAACTGGATAAAAGCTCATGAAAGATCAATTGAAGGATGGTTCCACATCAGGGTTCCTGGGATTTGAACCTTAAGCCCATGCACTAATATCTGCAGCCATGCCGAATGTCATCCACACTACATACTTAGCCTTCAAAGAAAGAGACAGTGAATGATTTCACTTTGCTCAGGGCTTATACTCTTACCCATTTAGAAACATCACCACAGAGTTGATATCTCACTTTGTTTGGAGGGGTACCTATTCAGCTGGCTATACTTCCCACATGCTGCTCAAATAGACGATCTCTGAATGGAAGTGCTAGGGATCGGGCAGGTCCATGTTTAAACAGCGAGTGCCGTGATGACGGATGACAAGCTGACAGTGGGGACTGCAGTCGTGACTTTCTCAGAACAGGATCACGGATGGAAAATTGTTGTTAATGTGGCGCCGCCACATGGGTCTAAACAAACTGACTCATACGCTAACGGAACTTGACGAGGTTTCAGACTCCACCGAAATCAGTTACTGCTCCCGTCTGCAGACTGCAGTCCCCTAATGCCCTTCCTTCCATGACTTTTCCGCGGTGGTCTGATGTTCCCATCTGGAGCGAGGAGGCATTACCCTGTGCCCTGCCCTTTTACACTCATGTTGGGGAGTTATTTCCTCCAGAATGTGGAGATCACCAGTATCACCCTACAAGGAAACCCTATTAGACACACCTAATTTAAATACTTCACATAATAAAGGATGCCGACATGAACCAATATAGAAACTCCCAGCATGCTTAGCAGTAGAGGTCTGCCATCATATGGCGTCAGGCATTCTGTTTCTTAATTATGAGCTCATTCACAAAACTCAAAAGCAGTAATAAGCAATTGAACGTTGCCTATCGGTGACAGTAGTAAAGGTACCCAAGTGAGCTTGTGATTTCACTTTGTACCTTCCCCTTAACTGCTGCTTTAAATTGATGAAATGAACAAACAGCAAACAGCAGGCATGACGTGAAAGAAGCCGATTTTCCTTGGGGCTCCGAGCGCTTGAAGTGGCCATGGCTGTTCCCAGCACCCCGCGCCATTCCGCCACACGCATTGCTGAACCGAAAATGGAGTTT